TGTATTCGATTAAGGCGCAAAAGCAATTGGAGGTGCTCTGACAATAAACACAACACTAACAATTCTTGACATTGAGGGAGACAAAATATTAGATGAAGGGGCAAAAGCAATTGCAGATGCCTTGAAAATCAAAAGAACAGTAACAACTCTTAATGTTTCTGACAACAATATATCTGATCTGGGTGCAAAAGCAATTACAGATGCTGTCAGAATAAACACAGCCGTAAAAACTCTTGATATTCAGCGAAATAAAATATCAGATGGAGGTATAAGACCGATTGCAGATGCGGTGAAAATGAACAGAGCGGTAACAGCTGTTAATGTTTCTGACAACAATATATCAGATGTAGGTTCAAAAACGGTAGCAGATACCTGGGAAATGAACAGTAATATTTCTTTATGTGTCGAAAAGCAATTTGTCGGATATAGATTGACTGAAAAATTTAATGTTCACCTTCCCGAATAAACTTTAGAGGGAGAAGTATTTTGAAAAAAGCCTTACGGCTAGTTTCGCTCGAAGCAAGTATTTTGAAACGAAACTTACGATACAAAAGTTGTTCGAGTCGAATTCCAGAATTTAAAAAGCAAAAACAGAAAGTTTTAGAAGAGGCTCTCGTCAGGGACTGCAGAATTTGATTCTGATCAAGTTTTGTACCAAATGTTTCAATATGCTTGCTTCGAGCGAAACTAGCCGTAAGGTGGGGTAAAAAATCTTCGCTGAGCCAAAAACCAGTGATATTTTCAAGGTTTTAATGTTTTCTTCAAGCCCTCCCAATTTGTAGAGGATACTTCAAAGTATATGTTTGTCAGGTTACTTACATTATTCAACTGAGAAAAAATTTAAAAAAAAAAGATGTTGTTAAATATTTGAGCACCGAGTTATTATTATAAAATTTTCTGTCCATTCTTCATCATGAAAACTTAGTTCTTGCCTAGATCGATGGAGAAATGTGTGCAGAATATTTGCGACGAGAAAATATGTAAAAATTTTTGTTCTTTTCTTCCGGTTATTGACTAATTAGTACTAATTAATGTTAATTTAACCTACTCTACTAGCTTAGAGTCTCATTTGTAAAATACGGACTTAACGAAAATTTCAAGTGATATCTCATCTGATAGAGAATTTCACGAGCTACAAGGTAGGCCACCTTTAAGTCTGTTTCTTATTCCATTAAAAATCTCAACATAGTGTTTGTTTGCAAAAAACATAGCAAGTTACTGAATTCACTACTGTTAACGCCCAAAAAAAGCAAGTATATAAAACCGATATCTCTAATGAGCTCCTGCACCATATTCAGAAATATCACGTTCAGTTGTCAGTGACTTTGAACGAGCTTGTTTTTTCCGTTCAATTACTGTCTCTCGTTTTGCTACTACAGACTCGGGCTTAGCAAGACGTTTTGAATCTTTTGCTAATGAACTGTCCAATAATGAATAATTAACATCTAATCCTAATGTATCGCAAAATGGTAACAGACCAACATCATTTGAACTCTGAGTCAGCCCGCGTAAACTTCTACGAAGAAGTTCAGGGTCTGTCAGATCCTCGATTATTTTGGATAAAACATCACGAAATACAGGATCTAATCTTTGCTTGGCTTTATCACCACTTTCTGGTTGATGTATATTTCGATTTATGAAATGAGCACCAGGTATCCGGAGTAGTAGGACAGTATTTATGCTGAACAGATTTATTTTGATCATTAATATTATGATAGATAATATTATGGGTGCAAAAGCAATTGCAGATGGCTTGAAAATGAACGCAGCAGTAACAATTCTTAATGTTTCTGACAACACTGTATCGGATGTGAGTGCAAAAGCAATCACAGATGCTCTAAGAATAAACCCAACCATAACAACTCTTGATATTCACCGGAACAAAATATAAGATGAATGGACAAAAGCAATCGCAGATGTCTTGAAAATGAACCGAACATAAACAACTCTTAATGTTTCTGACAACAATATGTCGGATGTGGGTGCAAAAGGAATTGCAAATGCCTTGAAAATGAACGCAACAGTAACAACTCTTAATACTTTTAACAACAGTATAACGGATGTAGTTGTAAAAGCAATTGGAGATGGCTGGAAAATTAGTAGAACAGTAATAACTCTTAATATTTTTGCAAAGAATGTATCGGATGTAGGTGCAAAAGCAATTGCAGATGTCTTGGAAATGAACACAACAGTAACAACTGTTAATATTGAGCGAAATTTTTATGTAATTTACGTGTGTATTTTGTTTTCGATCGCCAGTCTGCTTTCTGTCGAAAAGTACTGTACTGAGAAAAAATCAAAATTAACTTGATGATTATACGATGAATAGTCTCGTTTTAAATTTTTCCTGAGAAATTCGAAGTGGGATCTCGTGTTCCTAGAAACTGCTATACACGAATTATTATATACGGATCTGACAAGAAAGGTCCAAAATATTTACAACTTTTTATAAGTTTCTGATAGGATTCTTACGAGGTTCGTATATAAGATGTTGCACGGAAGTGATAAGAAATTCACTGCTTGTTATAAGGCTTTTATGAGAATCTTATAAGATATTCATAAGAAAGAAAGAACTCATCTTGTCACTTTCTTATGCATTTCTTATAAGAATCTTACCAGTTTCTTATCAATTTCTTAGCAACTTCCTATAAAATTTTTATCTGATTCTGATAAGAAAACTGCCGTGATTTTTTCAAGCTCATTCGATATTCTGGTGTTTCGTTATTCAACTTGTTGCTTTTTATAAAAGCTCTAGCTTCGTTTCTTAGACTTAATTTCATCATGTTTTACTCACACTTTTCTTCGAGAACATGATGTAATCAGTCTTTTAGTCTTTCTCGACCATCTCGCGCTCTCGTCATGTCATAATATACACAGGAAAAGAAATCATTTTCAGTAGAAAGCGCATGACAGTTCAAAGTGAGTACACAGTACTTTTGACTTTCTACTATTTTCTGACGAGTAAATAGTAGGGTGGAGTAAAATCATCATGGTATCTTTTCTCTTTTAAGGTTCGTCTGTGAGTTTTACCGATATGGCAAAGTTGACCGCATGTGAAGAAAACATTCACGCTTGGACCTCCAGAGGGTGTATACCCTTGGATATTATTGCTAATACTAATTCGTTGCTAGAGTCAATCTAGCATCCTGTGAATGAAGCGGTCGGTATAGCTTAGCACCCAATTGGAAGACCTTGCACAGTCGAAATCTTTAACTGAGCAGCGGGGAAGGACCTTAGATTCGGTACACTATCTGAAACGAAAGACCTTTCGAAACTAATGAGAAAGATAGTTCAGTTTGTGCCAAAAAATGAAGACTATTTAACTCTCCATCTTTCTTCGTCTCAAATTGCTGTATACTTACTTTGAAGTTAAAGGTTCAAGTTATTTCGTTTTTTATACTTTTTTATGACAAATCAGTGAGAAAACGCAGATTAAAACATGCCATAAATGCGAGTAAAAATGGTCGCCATCCCAACCAGTTGTTCGAGGAGTACTTCGAGCGCTCGGATATATGCTCTCGATGGGCCTTCGCCGAGGGCTCAAGCCCTCGAAAAATGGCACTTCGGACCCTCGATACAAGCTTTCGAGGAGTATTTTCGAGCCCTCGTCGCACCCTCAAGAGAGTAAGGGCTCGGATGTCCCGAACATCTATATTCGACGGGTTCGCTACCTATCTGAAATCCGAGGGCTCGAAATCGATACCCCACGAAAGCTTATATCGAGGATCCGAAGCACCATTTTCCGAGGGGTCGAAAATAGGCTCGGCGAGGGCTGTTTTCTGCAGGAGATTTTCACAGAACGTTAAAAAAAGAAGAAATGGCTGTGTGACAACGTGCATTATCCTCTTCCATGTATATAAGGTCCACATGTCTGCTCTATACATAGACAGTTTATTTCTATATATTCACATTAAAAGAACGAAATCAAAATTCCGAAATAAATGCTGATCAAAGCAGATCGAAAATTCGAGAAAGGGAAAATTTTGGCTCAAGAAAGTCAAGGGCATGACATCGGACAAAAATGTGCTTTGCATCCGTAAGAAATGTCTCCACGTCATGAGATTCTTACTCAAAAAATTCAAGAAAGCCATGTGCTTCAGAAAGAAAGCTTCACTAGGATTTTAATACGAAATTTCGAAAAACGCCTTTTTAAACGAATAGATAAAAGACAAACGCGTTTAAACGACAAAAAAAAGCATTGGTTTTGGAAGCTTTAACATGGTTTTTGGTCGTTAAAAACGAAAAAAACGCGTTTTTTGCCATTTTTTTTCACCTTTGGTCATTCACCATCTTGTTTTGCGATCAGCAGAGTATATAAACACAATCCAAATATCGTAGAAATACCATCTTCTTTTCGCTCTTTTTCAATTTTAGATCATCAGTTTTGTACTTCCTTTATTAAACAAAAGTTTCCGACCACATGAAATAAAACTTGGAACGTTTCTCTATCAAGCAAAAGAACAACGTTGAAGTTTGTTTAAGAAATGACGGAGCTATTAAAATTATTTCACTGGATGATGACTTTTGGAACTCTGTACTTAGCGTACCCAGAAAGTCGTAAATGCAAAAATAGCATTTTAAATTTAAGTTTTAGCCCATCCACATAAGAGAATTTAGATGCATCTATTGGACACTTTCCACTATTTAAATGTATTTACACATTCCTATGTATTTGCATGCAATTAACGCTGGCATGGATGTAAACGAATGCGTAATTAACGCATTCAAATGTATGCTCAATAAATGAATTAATTTGTTATAAATAGACGAGCATTTAAATGCGTTGACTTTTCCGTCAATTTGAACATGTACACAAAATTAACCCATTTAAATTTTCGTTAACAATTTAAAGCAAACCGCTAATTACTCTTGCGTCTTCTCGTCTGTCTTGTCTCTCTGTATGTTCATCATTCTCAGTGGAGCTTTGTAAAAAATTTGTAAAGTGTGATTTGAACATGTCTTCTCTGCTCCATAACCGCTCGCTCTCTCCACTTCGTCACATGATCTTGTCACTGACGTGCGTAAGTTGTCTGTAAGTGATGAAACATCATTTGGACTTATTGTTTTCTTTGAATGACAAGTACACAGCGCTCACTTGGTGTTAACTTGTTTGTTTTCGCTTTTTAGTTGATACCCATAGAAACAAAATGTCCTTTTATTTTCATACAGAGAAGAGCTTTAAGGGAAGTAAATGTTGAAATACTGCTTTACAGATCTGTGTAAATCTTCCGTGTGTGGGGTTAATCTCGTCAACCTGCGTGAATATTTCGAACACGAATAGTGTAATTTGCCATTCACGCTATCGACGGGAGTTCGAAATACTCCAAGAATAGATGACAATTGTAAACCAGGCACTATACGTTAACATAAAAAGATGACACAGTTTTTCACTTGCATCTTTCTGGACAACTTTTTGGTAAAATTTTTCGTGGAGTTGAAACCGGAAGCTGGTTTTCGGGTAAACCTTTCAATATTCAGATAGAGGTTTAAAAGTCAGCACATAACATCTATTTACTATTGCCAAAGAAACACCTGATTTTATTACTTAAGATACAGGTCGATACTTTAATTTCGTATTTTTATTTAAAACATATTTAAAAAACTATTTAAAAATCTTTAAGAAAACATACGTTTCGGCCTCTTTTATGTTCTGAGGTCAAAATTTTAATGCTGTAGCGAGATATGTAACAGAATTTTAACTATTTTTATATATATTTTTATTATGTTTACTGAAGAAGATCTCAAAATATAAACAAGGTCGAAACGTATGTTTTATTAAAAGATTTTTAAATATGTTTTAAATAATAATACGAAATTAAAGTATCGACCTATATCTTACATAATCTATCTATCTCGTATCGGTCAATTGTAAATTTAAACATAGCTGATTTTATCTTAATGAATCGATAAATTCGAATGATTCTTTATTTTTCGTGGCTTTGTGTCGGTTTTGGTCAATTGACAAAACCAGAAAAAACCCACACACAAGTCTACGTCTGTTTGACTTAACGAACGACTTTAATATCTGTTATTCGCTCCTCAGTGGATGGAGTATGCCATATGTTTCTTCTTCTGATCGTCTGTGTTATGCCCCGTGATTGCTCGAGTTACATATAGACATACATCGGCTACAAATAATCGATCGATTTTGATGTTATCTCATATTAGATATACTTATTATATTATGGCCATACAAAATACTCACAATAATACTATAAGTCTGAAATAACTACTATTATCCGCGTCAAAATATAATGCAGTCAGTTGTTTTTTGCAATAACTCAATAACGATAAGCGCCAGAGACTTGCAGTTTTCAGCAAAGTAGACACTTAAAGCTAACTTTACATAAGCAAAAGCTAGTTTGGAAAAGATTCGAAAAACTGGATTTTTTCTGAGAACCTTTGAAACTCTAGCATGGAAACAAAAATAGCAATCCATTGACTTTTTCTCCTAGGTAGATACATCAAAGTGTCTTCTACAAATCTGGATCTAAGCGACCTCTTGCTTTCGCTCTAGACATTTAAGATTTACATAAATTGTTCCTTGTTAATCGTGGTTATCTCAGTCGAAATATTCCCATATCTGGTATAAATACTTTAGAAGATGTTGCTAAACGATTTAGTAATGATTTCAATAATTCCAATCGGGTACAAATCAATATTTATTATAATAATAAAATTGTTGGTCGATGCTAATTAACTTATTTTCCGGATCAAGATCAAATTTATTTTGTCATAGATGTGAAAGACAGTGGAGATAGACAAAAACTTTTAACTAGTAAAACTTTGACGAAGCCTAACCGAATATAAGAAAAAAAAATAAGAGTATAAGAGAAAACGAAAAAAAAAAGAATTAT